ATGGTAGTGTTAAAAACCAAAGCCAAAAAAAAAAAAAAAAAAAAAAGAGAGAGGACCAAGGCAGATCTGGCCAAGTGAAATTTCCAAGAAAACGTCCAGTGAACGTCTGACAAGTCTGATCAGCAGGTGATGGACAGGTGGGGGGCAAAACAGACCTTCTCGGTGCCAAAAATACAGAAAGAGGGTCAAAGTCGCTCAGCTCGGTACAAAGAGATGATTGAGACTATCCATCTTTTTGCTCGGTGTAAATGGCAATGGCACCAAACCGCATGGTTTAGTGCCATTGTTGTATTTTACAAGTTGTTAACGTCTCACTTCGCCAAAGTCGTCAGCCTTAATTGGTCATCTTTTTCAATATCGATATTGTGGAACATTTGGAAAGTATAAGTGTGCGACTGTTATGAAAAGAAAATCCTAAGCCTATACAAATTATGAAGTTAATGATCATGCTATTCTTCTTATCTCATTTTCTTTAATTTAAATTCCTGTGAAGACAAAGACAGCCGGTGATTTTCTTCACACCAATCATTGCAAGAAGATACTTCCCGCAACACTTTTGCTGATTTACACAACTAGCACATGTCGAGCCAGCCAAAGACATTGCATGTTTTCATACTCTGTATCGATCCATGAATGCTGTTATCAAGGGGCTAATCTGAGCCCCCGCCCATTTTCCATTGTTTCACGTAACCTTTTACTTAACCGTGTTTTTCTTCTATACCCACTATTTCGCGGCCAATGATGTAGTGTTGGTCTTGCTGGTGTGAAATAACCTGGAGTCTATACAGCGACCTTAAACCGATGGTAAACTAACCTACGAAATAATGACATGAATTCCTGAGGCAAGCCAATTAAGAAATATAATTGACTACCCCTGATTTGAACTTGCTCTGTCATGAGTTTTTTTTTCTTTCCTTTGCAGTTAATTATCTTCGATTGATCCACGGCCAGCGTAGAAAAGTTTATTTTTGTACAATAGAGAACAGCAAAAGAGGATGAATATTCCTCGTCAATACAAAATGAAGATTTTAAAATACCTCACAGTCAATTGCTAATTCCACTTACATACTACTAAAACAGGTGGAACTACACTGGGTGTAAAAAATTTAGGAAATTAAAAACGGTACAGTTCTTCTCGCCTTTTTCTTGCGCACAAAATCGCAAAGAAATAAGGAAGTTGCATATTGTAGTTTTAACAACATCTATTTCTGCCATATGTAACATATAGTTCGGGTATAGTTTGGTAGATAACGCGGGTAAATAAATTAAATAATATGGCACAAACTACTGCATAGCGGAAACTATTACGCCCCGTTCACACCGAGCAAAAATATGGATGGTCTCTATCATCTCTTTATACCATGTTTTCGACCATCGTCCGCAGAGAATCGCCATGGGGGCATAAAGTGCAGTTGACCTACACAGTCTCCCAGGCTATCTTAGTCTGCATCACTTGCCTTCGAGTTTATGGAACTGTTCAAATCACTTGTATAATATTTGCAACCAGTAAGAGGATGGTATAATGGCGTAGCAATGAGTCCCACAAGTCTCATGTCATTCTCGAATGGGTTATTCACCAAAATTTCTTAATTGACGTGGTCGCAGAAGGGTCTGAGCCCGGAGTAACCGGGACAGCAACCAATTTTTTTTGTAGAGAGGCAATCGATACGTATGGTAGAACGTCAAAATAAATGACTGCATTCTGTAAATTACATTAAACTGTACCTGTCACTGAAGATGAACTATAGAAGGATAGAAGTTAAATGAAGATATCGGTGTCAAAAGCTTGATAGGGCCTACATGGCAGGGTTATAGATTAGCCTAATAGAAAAAATAGCTATTCGAAATTAAGTCATTTCAAACGACCGTCACAAATATATACTTTTAAAAATATTCATTTTTTTTGTCTTAGAACAACTAAGGAGGTTTGTGCTATTGTTTTATGTAATTTTTGTGTAATGTAATTTGTCAAGACATGACAAACTGTTTTTAAGTAGTGACAACAGTGACTTTAAAATATCACATTTAAAATTTTGTATCATAACAGTTCATCATTGCTCATTATCGGGAATTATTCCGTTAATATGTTTATATCTACATCATTACCTCCGCAAAGCACGTTATGTTTTTGGTTTCGAATTATCTTTGTTTGTTCGTTTGTGTGTAAGCATCCTAATGGAAAAAAGTTATGGGAAAATTTTGATGAAATTTTCAGAGACTATCAGAATGGATCAAGTAAGAAACGATGAGATTTGGTGGTGATCCGTTAATAAATTATTAGTTAATTATTTGTCTGTATGTCAGTCTGTCTGATGGCAACTGTATGCAATAAGTTGTGGAATGGTTTTGCTGAAATGTGTTGGGAGTAATTAACAGACCATTTAATTTTATTGATGATCCATCAATCAATCGATTACTTAATAAATAGAGCCTGTTTGTTTGTTTGTTAAAGTTATGCAAAACGTCCTACAGGGATTTAAACGAAATTTTCAGGATAGGTCAGAAATTGGCTAGATTTTGGTGGTGATTAATTTATCCATTTAGTTAATTAATTTGCAAATTAAGCAGTAAATTAATTTGTGAAATATTAAATTATGGATAAGAGTGAGAATTACATTTAAATTAATTAATTAGTAGAAGTGTGTAAATCACCATATTTTAGTCTGCATTGAATATAATATAATATAATAAGATTCTTCACTTTGTTGACAGCAAGAAAACATAGATACTCATCCATGCATTTTTGACTTCTACCCTCGAGTATTGAAACAGCCTCTTGTTCGGAATACATAACTTTCAAATGGAAAACTACAGTCTATGTAAAGTTCAGCAGCTCGTCCCCTCCGTAATCACACTAGTTCTAGTCCCCACCACATCACACTAGGGGTGTATTCCCAGAGATTTAGATCGATCCAGGGATTAAGATTTAGATCGACCTAACTCCCTGGGGGTTCACGCTAAATTGCAGTCAGCCGAGCGCGCACCATAGTTAATTACCCCCTTACAACTTTCAGTAGGCGGGACAGACGCTTAAGCCGGCTAAGCTGACAGTAATCTAGTGAGACTCCCCACAGGGATAGATCGATCTAAAATCTATGGAAATGGGGTGTAGTTCTCTGCGACCTTCATTGGCTACCCGTGTATCAAAGAATAGTCCTTTATAGTCTATTACTCTTGACTTTTAAAACTTTTAAGGGCGACTGTCCATAGTACATGGGCAATATAATAGAACTTTAAACTCCCATTGGAACTCGATCCAGTGGTCAATTTCAACTTAAGCGAAACGACGCAAAAAAGACTCTACCAGGGCGACAGATTGATTTTTCACAGATATGTCTCTAGATAAATAGACAGGCTGTGTGGATTTTTCCGTCTTTCCCTATATAATCTGCCACCCTGGTAGAGGGTACTTAAAAAATTTGGTCATAGGAGTTGAGATTGCTTCACCAGTATAATGGTCCCATTTTATTAACAAATCAAATTTATTTTAATGCTTCTTATCATTGTTTTTTCAAAATATATAAAACCCTTTTTATTTAAAGAATAATTTGGTTAACTTGCATCTTTTGGTTTTAATTACCTTTATATTAGTTTTAGTTTTTATGTACATATGTAAACAGCGCTGAGACGCATGTGAAGCGCGGATTTAAGAAATGAATTGTTATTATTAGTAGTAGAATAAAGCATCCCAGCCTCCTGGTACTTCTAGGAGCCTGTTGGGTTTGCCAATTGGTTCTACATAAGCTCGCAGGTGGGTAATGATTTAGTCACAATAGGACATTAATTACACCTTTCTTCTTTCACGTGAATCCAAGCTTAAAACGCTGGTTGGAATGACATGACCTCCTGATCAGGGATAAATCTGTTTACAGGAAATGACACATGGGGTGGCTGGATTTGGAAATCTGCCAACAACGTAACTTGAAGCAGTGTCGCGGTGTGCAAAAAAAAAAAAAAAAATTAAATAAATTAGCATAAATAAAGAAAATAACTCAAGTTGTTAAAATCATCTAAGATTAAAATAATGTGGATTGATATAGCCGTTTTTATGTAAACAATGTTAAACTTGGATTAGGTTCTTATCTGGTTGACACTGACAAAGAAAATGCAATACTTAACTTGATGTATATAAATCGGGTGTAACTTCATATTTTGAGAAGTAATACAATGTACATTTTAATCCAATGACATTTTCACATGACATTTACATAATAAAATGTGGAATGGATTAATTGTAATATTACGTGATATTATGTGAAATGTAACACCCGTTTTATATTACATAGTCTAATGTGAATGTCATTGGATAGAAATGTAATATTACAATTTAAAGTTTATAGCAATCCAAGTCAGGGTTTTTGAAAGCAATTTAAATGCATAGCTTCTTATTGAACTGTTCTGAAGGCAATTACAACTTTTGAATCATACATTGACAGATAAATAGCCTTAATCAATAAAAATAAATAAATAATAAAATAAAATAAATAGATAATCACATTCACTGCCCTCCTGTCCAAACTTTCACAGAGTTTGAAAATAACGCGGATTCTAATGTCACATCCGGCACGAGTTTAGGGACACTCAGAAGTCCAGTCATGAATGGTGTATCTGGAAAGCCTATGTTAAAGGTCGGGTTTTGATCTTTTGCTTTTCCAAAAACTGTTACAAAAACATGGCGAGTGCCAGAAAAGGAAGACTAAAGGTTGGCAAGATGGGGGGAAAATGCTGTTTCCCATGGGAAAATTAATTAAAAATGAGTTTTTGTCGGGAAAAATCCTAGCTGGAATGCTTCCAAGTTTTTTTTCCACATAAACAATTAAAATTTCCATACACTTCTATAGCTCTTCTAAAATAACAAATATTTTGAACTCAAGTGACACTTGTTCTAAGCTGTATTCTTGGGTACTTTTTTCAATTCTACAATCCTGAAAAGGTTTGCTTTGTCACAGAATCCATAGATGCTGTCTTTATACAAAATCAAATACAACGAACACATTGGGTATCTTTGAGCAAAATTCTATTTATTTTGGTTTGTATCTTACTAAAGACACAAAGAGTATTCTATTACCCATTTGAAAAGTATGTAAAACGTATAAGTATGAATAAAAAATGCAAATAAATCCTACGGTTGGGTATCATCTGGACCCGGCTAGGGGGTCGGACGGAGGGGGGTCTGAAAAAAGTGACCAATAAAGTCAATTGGCAGCCTACTCACCTAAATGCTATGGCAACTTTGGAACCAAAGCTTATAAAATAAGAGAAAGGACGGGAAAAAATCACAATTGAAAAAAAAATGTATCAGAAATTAATTAAGCTTGTGTTCTAAATATCAAAATGTCACCTACTGATTTTTTCTATTGATTAAATTAATAAGTACATTTTTGTATTATATCCATAGTTTACAGTTCTGAGCAGTAACTTAATTGCAATTTTTCAGGAAACAAACATTTTGCTTGTAACTCTAAGTATTTTACATTATTCTTAAGTCGGCATATATACTGACCTAACCTAACCAGCCTAATGAGTGTTATCAATAGTTACAATTCCTATAAAAAAGTAAAGTAAATTACAACAAATAAATAGTGTTTAAGACATATTTTACAAATGAACATAAACTGGTGCTGTGATGCTAGAATAAAATTTTAAACAAATTTAATTAAACAATTGTAAACTTGGCTTACTGATTTCATACCGTTAATATAAACCAAAATGGTTGTGCTAATGCCTTAGTTAAAGAATTTACAAAATTGTAGGCATATCATTACCAGCCTTTAAGCAAATTAATTGCCCATAAACAAAATCTGAAATATTTTTCTTTTATATCCTTTTTACATAATATATATAATTGTATGCAAGTAAAAAATAAATCTAATAATGATAATATAGTACACTTTCCAAAGATGATTTCTTTTTAACTTGTTATGAATAATACCATAATCTCGTTCTTAATTTGCTTCCTAGCAACCAATACAATCAAATTGCAGATCATAGTGTGACCTCTATACATGAACAAACATTTTCATATGAAAACATACATAGACTTTTTTCCACTTTTCAGCCAATATAGGTACTTTTTCCTTGTGCATTTACATAACACAAATGCTAATCATACAATGGTGACATTAACGAGTAGCTTGTATGAAAAAAAGGGATGCAAAACTGACTTATTATGACATCCTACAGTTTTTTTTTTTTTTTTGCTAAAAGCTAATTTAATTGCATCTCTGCTTGATCATCAGGTACAAATAACCTGTACTTCGTATACATGGAAATATCAGAATCAATTGAGTATTCTGTAGCAATACTGCACAACTCCTGTACATTCTAACCAAGAGCATCTTTCAAATATCTGTGCTTCATTTCAGACTCAGGACTGGCATCCCATATAATCAGTGGGTTTAGGATGTGATTGTACCTAGGGCTTCTATGCATGCTGTGTAACAGAACAGGTACTGGTCCTAGAAATGAAACATATATGATGTCACAATTACCGAGTCCATATAAGGAAAGGGAAACAGGGCTTCCAACGTGATAAGAGACTTAACACCCATTGTTGATTACAACCGTGTACCACCAGCTGACATATACCATATATACGTATATGTGTTACATAATATCCAGTGACATTTCAACAAAAAGAGATTCCTTGAAAATTAATTCCAAGAAATAGACAGTGTGACAGGTGTTAAACACACGGGGAGCTATCCCTCGATACCCTCTTGTCCTACCATGGTGCCTATTTAATTCAAAAGTTACCTACTAGTTGCCTGAAAAAAATCCCCTGGATCTGGTTTGAATCAGCTAATAAAATAGCTGGCATTACTGCAAACAAAAATATGTTTTGATCTTTAAGAAAAAAAAATGGATAATTCAACATTACAATTTAAGCTGGTTGAAAATAGAATGATGCAATGAAATTGATTGGTAACCAGAAAGCAAACAGACTGTGCACTAAACAGAGAAATATAAGCATAACTTACCTTAGTTTGGATCATGCCAGGCCGTTGTTTTCTCAGTTCACTTACAATTTCACAAATGTCAAACTGAAAAGATACAACAATACAAAATAATCAATATTTATAATAAGTTACATATAAAGACTTAACAAACCATAATAAAACATTCAACATTTAGAAGTGACACCAGTGTGAAGCCCTATCTTAAATTGAAGTTTGCCAAACATACTCAGGCCTTCCCAACTACCAGACTCGGCACCTACGGATCCAGAATAAACCGGTATATCAGACCACACTACCCGTTTTCAAGGTGTGTGTCAGATCGCATTACAGAGAATCAGCCACCACACCAATTTTGCCTGGTGCGCGATGTGATAGCAAAGATCCTAAGCGGGGTTGGAAAGTAGTGCATCTCATCTATATTCATGCGCTGCTGCAATTTTCCCTGTTTATGCTAAAAATCTGACAATACCGCAATTTTTAACATAAAATTTAGGTTCGAACATAGCCAATGATGTTTTGTAAATAAGAACTTGCAAACTTATATATTAATTTAGAAAAATAGACCTAAATTTGATAGCGGAAGCATATTCTGTCGGGGGTGGAATATTTTCATGACTAGCGGGATGGACGTGATCAGGGGTAATCCTAGAGAAGGGTGAGAAACGTCCATTGTTCTTGTCAGCGAGGCTGGCTTTTTTCAGGGTATGTACGCACAGACAGAAAACTAAGTATTGTGGGAATGTTACTAATGAAGCCACTGGTAGTACTAGTAGATGTCAGCCTGTAGTCTTGAACAAGCGCCTCGATGACGAGTGAACAGTTGTCAAAAATAAAAGACCCAGGTGTGGTAGTTCAACTACTGTTCATGCGTGCCGCAACGACCAAACCAAATTGCTCCTCAAGGTCACCAAATAATATCCGGTACTGACGGCTAGGCTCTCTTAATCATACAAGTAGCGCGTTTCCACCCCCGACAAGATTGAGGGAGTCGTCTGTCGCCATGCAATGTTGTTGTATTCATACGACTCCTACTTGACGAAAATGAGGCGCGATACCAGGATGACAGGTAGGCTTACAAAATTTGTGATGGGGTATGATACTCTGTAATGCGATCTGACACACACCTTGAAAATGGGTAGTGTGGTCTGATATACCGGTTTATTCTGGATCTGTAGGTGCCGAGTCTGGTAGTTGGGAAGGCCTGATACTGTAAACATACACTGAAGTAAAAGCTGCTTGGAAAAGAGACAAACTAAATGTTTGTGTCTTCTTCCTTACTTGCATAATTGTTTGCATTTATCTTGAACTAATTATAACGAAGATGGATTTCTTTGTGAATTTTCAGCAAATCCCTTTTAAAGAAAAACTTCACAAATGGATAGTAACAAAGATATGAATTAATAAAATTGAAAATAAAAGAAAGAAAGAGCATGGAACATTTTTCTCTAAGACCTTAAAAAAGTGAGGGGCACTGAATCTTGAAATCAAGTAGTATTATATTCAGGAGTTATGGATAATAATTCTCAGTGAAAAGATATCTGAGCAACAAAAATATTCTGATCTCTCTCTCTCTCTTTGTAAAACACATGCTGTTGATGGTAATAACTAACTGTGCATCATAAATGAAAAGGACATAAGCATCAAACAAGGCCATAAATCTACCTGTTTGACAGCTTCCACGGCACAGTAATAAATATGGAGATACAATTTCAAGAATTCTGACAAAATACACTATTCATTCCAATTGCCCAGTTGAGTCCAAGAAATTAACCAACAAATTGATGTGCAAAGAACAGAACACTTGAGGTGGTAATAAATTACCAAACACTGACAGTGATTTTTGGAAAAAAAATTATCTGAACTTCAAAAACTCATTTTATTCTTTATGTAACTCTGGCACTGGTTGGTAATAACTGTCTCGTCACCGCATACAGAATAATTAAATCCTGATGAATTTTCAGAGAGAAATTAGGGGTCTAAAAATACATGCACTGTTATATTTAGTCTTTGATTATCCTCTCAGTTTTGCCATTGCTTAAACAAAAAACATGGACAAAATTAAGTTTTCATAGTTGCTCCTAGACGGACAAAAATCAGACAAATCTATACTTCATGGTGATCAAGTGTTCGAAAATGAGGTAGTCCTCTGTCACACTTTTTGGATAAATACTATTAGATGAGGGGCCTACAGAGACTTCCTCCACATGTCCCATAGCATGAGCACAGTCCCACACTGTACTCTTAGTGTGTGCCAAGTTCTTAATGTAAGCAAATTACAGGGATAACAACTCTCCATATGATATCCATATTTCATAATAAATACATTGTAAACAACTAAAAGAAATATAATTTATTCTATTTTGCCAAAAAGAGAAGTGACAGTCACAAAACAATTTGACCTCCATTGATGGCTACCCTCTGAAATTATCTCATAAAAGATTATTGCAAAAACTAAACTTTTTTCTTTAAATACAGGGACTAACTTTAACCGTCGGAATGGATTCATTAACCATTAGGTTATGGGAATATTGTCGTTTTCCACAAGAATCCTTTTTTAGCCAAAATGAACATTTGTTATACATGTACCTTTAACAATTGAACAGATTTAAAACAGTGGAAGAGGCCAAACAACTTGTCGATCAAAGAGCATGTCAGAGAAGACAAACATTTACCACTGGTCGCTTGAAAACTTTTTTCTTGTCAATTTTACCTTGAGATTTTTCTCTATACTTGTGAGTGCAGTGGCTATAGTGATCAGGGTCCCAGTTCTTCCAATCCCTGCACTGCAGTGAACCACCACTGGGCCAGACTCATGAAGGGCATGCAGCAACTGGATGTACTGGAATGAGAGGAAATCAATTCTCATTACACTCTGGTACTGCCTTTTTCCGTCATTTTAGTGACAGACTGAAAAATTTACCTTTAAAAAAATCAAATTAAAAGAATACATAAAAAAAGTCATATGACAGCCATCTCAAAAGTATCAAATGCCTGTGACTTAAATGGAAAGTACCTCAACTCATGATCAGAAATAAACCCTTAACTGTAGGTGGTTTTACGCAGAGGTTAGTCAATATTTCATTCTCTGTACTGTATTTTACATAAAAAATACTTGCATATCTTTCTTTTACAACATTCATATTTGACTATTAAAAAACTGTTGTGAAGCTCAATACAATAGATGAAAATTAAGATATTATTTTGCTTTTTCATAATAAAATGTGTCAGCAGGTCAGAAAAAGTTTATAAAATATGAATTAAACATAAAAAATAAAATAAATAAAAACCCCAGAAGAACATTTATTATAGGGCCTCCAAATGTATACCTTAAAAATGTCTATTTTTGCGAGCCTTCAGAAGAAGTTGTATCTTTAAGTGGCACCATGTCCTGGACAAAAAACTAATTCTAAATGCCCAATTTGGGATGCTTCTATTAGAATCCTTTGGGTTTTTGTATATCATAAATGAACATTTACACTTTCTGTGTCTATCAAGTAGAGTAAAAAGGTCAAACCAATCAACTAGTCTGTGTATTTACTATAAAAAAGCAGCGAGAAGTGACAGTCACAAAACACTTCCTGTGTCATACTTCCCAGAAATTTCACCCAAGATACTCAATAAGAATTGATGTCATACATTAATAACAGTTTCAAGGAATCAAACATGTTTCCATGATGTCATGAATCTTCATTCATTGATTATGTGCAAGTGTAACTATCATTTCTGTGAAACAAGGTTTAACTGAAAAAAATAAACTTGAAAGTGCATGAAGTGAAAGGAATTAAAGAGTAAAGCAGTTTTTTTAAATTCTAATTAAAATTGTGCCATGTTTGAAACATTTCACTCAATAATAATGTGAAAATAAAGGTACACAATCATAAAATAAGCAGGCCCTCAATAATTAACAAAATTAACCAAAATGCATAACTGATTATTCATTTTCAGATTATTGGAATTGTGGAGCAATAATGGTTTTACTGAAAATGCTTTAAAAATGTACTCAAATAGAAATCTTCTTGCCAAAATAATNACAGATTCCAGAATAGTTGCAATAACCACTATTATGGTGATAAAATGGAATTTATTATATTTCTATGAGTTGTTTACAAGGTATGTATTGTGAAATGAATCTCATACAAACAGTTGTTACCCCTCTAATTACATTTTTCATGTACTGTGCTCTGAAAAGAGAGAGAGAGAGAGAAAGAGAGAGAGAGTTGTGGTGTGGTATTTTTTTTCAACCAAATATCTAATTCTTTGACAACACAAAGTAGGCCTACACAGGTTCCAAGAAAAAAGTGCTTGCAACTGGATAGCAATCAATGAGAACAGATACAAAACAAAGCCAATTTTACAGGCAACATTGGTGGTTTCCTCTATTTAGGAACAGTTTATTAGATAGTAATAGAAAGGCAAACCACTAAATCAGATCAATTACGTCAAAAAAATGTTTAGGTTTCATTCCAGATAGAACAAGTCAATCAGAGTGTATACCACACGTACTTTTACCAAGAGTTCAATATTACTGTGTATATCCACAAATGTGGACTTAGACTAATAAGTAAGGCATGTTCTTTGTTACAGCACAAATCTACTGAATAATTACTAAATTTCTCAATTTTTCAATTGAAGGTTTCTGTGCTTATATCCATCCATTGTTGATTAAATGTGCAAGATAAAAAACAGGCAAGAGAGCTGCTCTGATCAACATAACAACAAAAGCTGCCATCAGCACTGTTTATGCATTCATGTAATCTGTGAAGGAAATGTAAAAAACAGTGCTGAGTGGGAGAGCAGCCTGATGACATCCTGTTACCAATCTCAACTACTGCTGCTGTACAGTCTAAAGCATATTTGTGCCATCTTTTCTTGGAATGCTTTTGTTCTTTTTTTGATATCAAATACTGATATCAAAAGTATCACCCTTGCTTTTATATCTCATTATTAAGACTCCTGTTCTGCCTCAGATAAATTCACATGTTATGACACATTGAATTGTTGAAGCTTTTTTTTTTCAACCTTTAAAATCCAATAAATGTCAACTTCAAAGTGAACCACAATCCGTGTTAAGATATTTGAGGTCTTCCCTATTCATCAGGCTTTGGGGGTGTGTTATCATTTTAGTTAAATTTCAAATGTTTCAAAATTCACTTCAAAAGATATTTTCTGTGCTATTTACAAGCATGGGTATTTTGGGAGAGCATCACATCTGCAGCACTGCTCAGTTCTGAACTAACTAAATGTTTTTAATACAGAAAAAAATATACGTTTTCTTCTTAAAAAGACTAAACCTAACCTTAGCTTGGCATTTAGGCACATTCAACTGAATTTTGACAACCAATTTTCCTTTTGTTAACAACGAAATAACCAAAACCATTCCCAGAACTTCTGAGCAGTCCACCTTCACTTACCTGCAGCAAGGGTGTAGCTGTCTGAGGCACCCCATTGTCCGGCCAGGAGGTGAAGTTTAGGTGGATCACCTCCTGGCTCTTACTGGTCTTGGTGTCCTCCAGTTTAAGATATCTGATGTGGACATGCTGCAGTATGGTCTCCCTCAACAGGCTTAGCTGGTACCTTAAATATATGGCAATGTGAAAGATATGAAAAAAAAAAAAAGCGATAGATGACTGTGATGAGCACTTACAATGTTGCTGAAGTTGGGGGGAGTGAAGGTGGAACTTTCTTTTAAAAAATATGTACAATATGGGCCTGTTCAGAACCAGCTGATCCATGTACTAACTAGTCTGCAGATCAAATATGGCGCACACTTTAAAATGGATTCCCACCCAGGGGAGAGCAATCAAATTTTGGCATGCTTTAAATATATTTGATCTGCAGACTAGTTAGTCTGAGGATCAACTGGTTCTGAACAGGCCCTATGATTCTGCTACTTGGTTGAGGGGTTGCATCTTAATATTATAGAGGATCATTTGTGGCAAATAAATGGAAATTAACTTAGTTTTCAAACCAATAACTGATACCAATGACTATTAGTCCCAAGCTAAGGGTCATTGGCCCTATTTACTAAGTCAAAGATTGGGGTTGGTTGGTCTAAAGGCACATCAGTTCATATACAGTAATATATAATCCAATTTACATGTATAAATTTTGAAATAGAGAAAATTAAGTTTTAACTTACATTGCTGTTTAAAGTTTTTTAAATAAACCATTATATATATAAATCTGGGACCAATGAACATTGGATACTGCTTTATAAACTTTTGGGTGAAATGTTCAGATCACTGAACATTGGACTAAGGAGTGGCATCAAGGTAGTGTGTACCATAAAAAATTGTCAGTTAATGTAAAGACAGCCACAGAATAAAAGAAAAAAAAAAGAACTTCAATTCTTTACAAAGCAATACAGCAACCTAACTTAGACACAATACACATTCTGAATCTCCCATTACCTGCCATACACTTGCATGGGGGTCTCCATGGACTCTGGCCAATAACAGTGACATTTGACCTTCCCTGCCTCCATGTCCATCGTAACCATGGCAATCATCTGGACTTTGTACTCCCACACCATTCTCCAAAAATCTCCCGTGGTCTGCGGCAGGGGGCCCTGGCAGGCTATGTACTGGTGTTCTTCTTTGCCCACAGTGAGCTTGATGTGGCTGGCATTGATGTAGTCATCACTTCCAGTCAGGATCACTCGATTGCTATCATCTGGGGTAATAATAATAATAATAAACTTTTAATAGAAAATGCACTAATAATGATATGTGATACCCAAGACATGTTGGTAGTGAGTAATAAGTACAGTTGATATTGGGAGAGAATTGCTCTGTAAAGTCAGGAAGAAAGTAGTAAATTCAGGGACTTGAGGAGAGAGGTTTTCAGAGCACTTCCAGTGGCATAATAAAGATGGAAGAGGATCTTTTTCAAAAAAAGTTTTACCTGATAATATCTTTGAATGGGTGAACAGAGTAAAGGAGTTGGAGAGGATAGCTGGAGATTGAAAAAAGAAAAAAATGGAGAACTAATATCAATGAAGATGGAGCCCCTATTTTACTTGAATTGAAAGAGGCATTGATTTTTGTCAAAATTGTCTATTGCCTCTTTCCTGAAGGCTGCAAAACATCCTTGTCAAAATGATATTTTTTGTGTGAGCTAATAATTGGACACTGTGATAAAAATAGAGCAAAAGAGACAAGGTGTGAATCTGTGTGAGTGTCAAAAAAATCATAAATGACAGCAGACTTGCAAAACATGCCAGGCAGTGCTTTTTAATTAGTCCAGGACAAAAACAGTCTAGCATTCTCATGCTTATATAGACCCCAGAGCTGTATTTCATGTTGTCTTTTCAATATCTGTAATAATGACTTTATCAACAATGAAAAATCTTGAACCCATATCATCTTTAAAAACAATGAGTAAAATGAAGAATACAAGCACTTTTATTATTGCAGTTAAATCCATTTCACTCTTCAGGCCTCTAAAATATCATCCTGAGTGGCATGATTATCATTTTTATTATGACAAACACCAAAAAATCACAATTCAACTATGAAAAAGAATAATAGTGCCGCTGTTGGATTTTACTTGAAAAAACTTCCAATTACATATTCAATTCAAACTTCTATTCTAGAAATAAGTCAATTCAAACACATTTATGAAACTGATGTTGTATAAGATTCTTAAAATACAAAATAACAGTGTTGTTTATAACTAAAACTAGGATCCAGTAAATAAAAAGGCAAAACAAAAGTAAACAACTTATGTCTGATCCCTCTGATAATCCAAACGTTCAATCCACTTTGCACTTCACATGCCAAAATACAATTAAGGCCAGACGAAGCTGATAAGCTGGTTAACGAGCAAGACCAACCCTAATTATGAGGAAATCGGATTTTTTTTGCACCTATTAAGAAACAAAAAATGCATTGGGTATTTTTGTCTGATTATTGGAAGAAATTTATTGTTAACCCTAAGAAAAATCCTAATTTTGCTGCTTTAGTGATTTCAACAAATTAATAATCAGGTTTCTACCACATAGCTCCTATATAATTACTCTGAGACTCTCTATTTACTCCAAAACCTATTTCTTATCTCTTGTTTATTGCAAGTTTTTCACCAAACACAAAAGGTGATTAGATTTTACCTGGGGTTAAACCAAGTTGTGAAGCTCAGTACAATGTAACAACACTGATCTTGGGAATGAAGTAGGATAATGGCAGAAGTAACCAATAAAAGAAGATAATATGCCTTTAATGCAGTGTTTACCTAAAATGAATAAAATAAATTGATTTGATGTTGGTCCCCACTCTCTTCTACATCTCTTTAATTGCTTGAATAAGATTCATAACATACATTCTGCTTTACTTATTAAATGAAGATATGAGCTTGATTTTAAGCTATCGTTTTTATGTCAGAGTATTTTCTTTTAATCTGCATAGGTTGTTTTCATTATTAGTTCCAAAGATTTTTGTTTTGTCTTCTGGGAAATTGCCATTTTTCTTACCTACTGTTTATGTGATACTGGGTGTTATGTGAACAGCAGCTAATGAAAACTGTAAAGAAACAACAGAGCGCGAAAAGGGGAAGAACATGGTTTTACAGAGAAATAGGTATATTGAATAATGATGAGGAGGAATAAGTCTCTTGTGTAATAATGATAAAAAATCACTTGTAAAGAAACTCACGTTTCTCTGCCTATGTGATTTGATGTTTTGATGCCTCATTACAGTCATCAACGTGGTTTAAGTATAATTGCTATAGCAATATACTTATAGTGAGCTTGGCTTCTGACAGTTTTTAATAAAAAATAACATCAGTGAAAATTTGGATTTTAGTCCTTTTCATATATAGCTCCTTCCAATGCTAGATTAGTTTCTGAACAGTTCCTTTTCCAGGTTTGTCATAATAAAAAAGTCAGATAATATGGCATGCTACCAATACCCTATGATATTTTGATTTCATTTAAGAAGAATTTTCACTCATTAGTTTAAGAAAATAGCCCTTGTTGCTGTATGAAGATACATGTTTAAAAAAAAAAAAAAAAAAAAAAAAAAAACTCCAGTAAATGCGAAAGACATAAAGCATTATAGTCGAGTCGCCACTCCCATAGGCCCAATAGTCGAACCCTGCAATGTTCTTTCCTGTAAACTTTTTTTGCTGAAATGCATTCTTCAGGCAGAGAGAAGCAAAATTAGCTTGGTTGCTACTTCCGGGACCTTGAGCATTTTTCAATATGGCCGTCAATTTATGAGGAAAAATAGAAAAACGATCAGAAGTCGCCGGATAAACTTTATTGACAGCTTTTTTGAACGTGTATCCTATCAGGAAAGCACAACAGTACTAGTGAATGCGCTTAATCGCGTAGCACTTAGCAAAAAAACAAAATGGCCGTCAAAACTTAAGGCAGAAAAGGATAAAAGCTGCAGAATCAGTTTGTTTTTTGCATATTTAGTTTTATTTTAACCATATCTCCTTTTTATATTTATGTTAATTGTAATATTTTGTTTGTCATGACCCTTAGCTCTTGGAATAAGCTTATCTGACAGTTCAATAACCCCCAAGAGTCTGTTTGCTACTTCCCCGGGTCCCATAGTCAAATACTTAGAATGCTATTCCCTGAAAATTTTAAAATAATTTAATAGTTTGGGTGTATAAAGCCAATTTAATTTGGGCTTTCTTGGCAGTGGCTACATACGGAACATTGATCAATTTTCAAAATTCAAGATGGCCGTCAATAATATAAAAATATATTATTATATCATCATATTATTTATAAATAATTATGTAACATAGCAAAGAGTCGGTTTTAAAGTGCATGGTATTCCGCATTTCAAATGTCTGCTAAAACATGCCCAAAAAGGTAAAAAAAAAAACAGTTAAATTACGTTTTAAACTGATAATTTGGCGTATAATATATATCAAACCCTTGGGGGGTGTAATTTTATTTAACTTTTGTCAAAATATTAACCTTATTATTTTTTTTTCGTTTTTGTTTTTATATTGATCATACCTTAATAAATATTTTGATTTTATATCTTTATTTCATAACTTTATTTTATATCTTTATTTTATAACTTTTTTCAGTATGTACATAAAATGTTGCTTTAAAACTTCCCATTCTTTTTATTGAGATTGGCAAGAATATTTCATCAGTATATAGCAGCATTTTTAGTTTATCTTATTACTGCTCTTTTTTCACTTTACATTTTAAAGAGTCAATAAACAAAACATCATACACATCTATTGGTTAAATACTGACAGCCATTAAAATCTTTGAGGCCATATTTTTCAAAATAATTGTTATTTTGAAGTTCTAACTGGATTATTTTCATATGAATAATTTGTTCGGGGGATTGGTCTACAGAACTAAAAATCTTAAGTTTCATGAATAGTTTCAAAACAAAAATGGCACCAGCCCAACACAAAGTCACAAAGGTCAATAGCCGGTACGATCTCTGCTTGCTTCGATGCAGGCGGCCATCTGTTGGCGCATGCCTGGGCAATAAATGTGGATGGGATGGTGTCGTGCGGAATCCTATTCCAGCCTTGGCGTGGTGCCTGGATCAGCTGCTGCCTTGGCCAACGGACGGCCAAGATATATGTAGTACCACAAGTGTTCAATCGGATTCATATCCAGCGAATAGACAGGCCGGGGTAGGACATCCACCCTTAGGACTGACTCCAGATACACTTGGACCATTTGTGACGAATGTGAACGGGTCTTGTCCTGGTGGGAAACGGTGAAACCCACAGTGGGGCTGCTGCTCCGATTGTTGTTCCTGCCGGGTGCTTCTTGTGCTGTACGACTGGCATGGCGAAATTGGTCCCGCGGCTGATGCAACCTGATGTAGCGATCCTGGTCTGGAGTTGACACTCTCTCGCCCAGGCTGCAGTATATCGCTAACAGAGACTGGCATGTTGTGACATTCAACCAGGTTCCTGATTGTGGGGTGGGAACAGCCCATACATTATACAGACTTGACAGTTTCGAGGGTATGCCTAGGTAGAATGCGCTCTTTTTCAAAAAACTCCGATCTCATGTAAGATATGTGAACGGAGAAATGTGTAGTCATGTGTGTAGCTTCTAATTAACTGAATACCAGGTTTGTTGCGCTGCTGCATTATGTAATATGCAGTAATTTAATTGGGTAGTGCTCCTTTGGGCAGGTCAAAGCTTGGCTTTAGCAAAGCATGGTTCCGTCCAAAAAGTATCCATATGTCGGCAACTTCTACATAGAAGAATTTGAAATTTTGCATGCAAGTGGTCGGTTTTGCAGTGTGTAAAATGGGCTATGCATTGCTTTACAAATTTGTTAATCTGTGGCAAAATGGCGCGAAAAAGACAGACATTGCCAGACAGATAACTGCGCCAAACGAAACGGTCCGCCCAGTTTTATAGGGTAATGCCCAGACTGATGTACCTACATAGAGGCCATAGCCAATGTATTGAAATCTTACCACCAGGGCACAGGGCCCTCTGTCTTTCAGGATATGCTTTTGCAACTATACAAGAAACACCCAGTCCGTTCAGAATGAGAGGTAAATTGCCACAAAAACGCATATTTCAAGGCCCTTAGCGAACACCAAACTGGTTTTAGCAGATTAGAATACCAGACGACCTCCGAGGAACCCACTGTAAACAACAAAACATCGTTGTATGTTTCTCTAATGAATTGGGGACCATGACCGTTTCTGGGTTGAACACTGAAACCCCGTGGCTTTCTTTATTGAGGTCAGATTTCACCTGTACTGCTCAACTAGTCAAAAAAGAGTTTACAGACATCCAGAAGAGGCTAACGACGAAGTGTCTTAGTGACTTAGGTCATTAACAGCGTCAGTATTTGGTGTGGATACCACATTGGTGCCAAAACACCAATGGCAGTCATTGACGAAAACCGAAGCCAGATCAAATAAAGGAATAATCTGGGAACCACTTGACTATTATTTGATAGGGGGCACCTAAGGAACAATTTTAGGTTGCACGGTGAGATTGTCGGTTCACACAGAGCACTTTTAATAGCAGATTACTCACAGAACCAAGGGCATGAGCAGCTACCTTGGTCATCAAAACCGCCATATTTGAACCACATGGACAATATGTGGGTGGGCCATTACTCACCGAATCAATGGCCTTCATGTCCTACAACAAAACTGGACAAAATTGGACAGATTTTGACCGATGCCTGGAATGTTATTCCAGATTGAACTCTAATAACCTATCCCAAGGAATGCCTTGCCACTTGAGAGCGCTGGTAGCAGCCAAAAGAAGTCAGGCGAAACAGCAACCGTTACTGTGACTAGACACTGACATGATGGTCCTTTGTGGAGCGTGTAACTCTTTTACAGACAATAATTTGGAAAATGTAGTTTTGCAGTTGTTTCTTTGCCTTTCCATTATGTTTTGGAGGTCATTTTTTATTAAAATAACTTGCAAAAATGAAATAAATGATCGCACTCTGCATGGATACAAACATAAATATGCAATGACGAACAATGGAGTGAAGCATTAAATTTTTTATTTGAACATATGGCTCTCGCTATTCATATAACAAATTGACGGCCATCTTGAATTTTGAAAAACTATCAATATCTCGTATGTAACAACTGGCATATAAAGTCAAGCTTATAAGCTTCTGTAAGTTGTGTAACCCAGATGAAATAATTTCTTTAAAAAAGCTTGCAAGATATAACATAGCAAGCATTGACTATGGGGCTCGTCGGAGTGGCAAATGGACTCTCAGGAGATGGCACCGTCTGCCACCATCTGAGTAATGTCAAATAAGCAGTTTTTGAGAGTTTAGGATCATGACTAACAAATTTCCATAATGGACATAAATAGAAAAGGCGTATGTTTTTAATAAGACTAAATTTGCGCAAAAAACTTATTTTACAGTTTTTTTACTTTCTGCCGTATGTTTTGACGGCCATTTTGGCTTTTTTGCTATTAGTAACGGGCTTAAGTGTATTCACTAGTACTTTTGTGCTCTTCTGATAGGATACACGTTCAAAAAAGCTGTCAATAAAGTTTACCCGGCGACTTCTGGTCGTATTTCTATTTTTCCTCATAAATTGACGGCCATATTGAAAAATGCTCAATGTCTCGGAAATAGCAACCAAGCTAATTTTGCTTCTCTCGACCTAAAGAATGCATTTCAGCAAAAAAAGTTTACAGGAAAAAACATTGCAGGGTTAGCGTTCTGGCTACTCGACTATTACATTAGCACTACATCTCCATTTAAATGCGCTTTTACTTTGTTCAAATTGCTGTAAAAAAAGCAATCAAAGAAATCATAAATAAAGTGTCCACATTTGCAAGCATATTCTTGGAATCAGAGAAAACAAAGAAATGTGCTGCTGAACAGGATGCTACTTATTAAATATAATTGTAGCTATCCAGTATCAATGCTAAAAAAAAAGCACAAATGTACGCTTGGCATTATATACAAATTGTCCATTTCAAAAATGTTGTTCTTGGAATCAAACAATACATTGGGGAAACTGAGCCCATGCTGTTCATACATTTAATGGGTTAGTGGATACATCATACAAAACTAAAAATTGCAGTCCAAGAGAGATTAGCAGTCCAAACTAAACATTACCATTAAACAAAAAGCAAAAGCTTTGTGACAATAATAAAAATTACATTTCTAATTTGATATTCTGAAATGAACAATCAAGGTAGGGTATCAACCAGAAATAAAGTAAAAATACCATGGCAGTACTGTTTATTGCTGTTAAGCCTAAAGTTATATATTTAAAATGCCATTATAAGTGTGTGTGTGTGCTTGTGTGTGTGTGTTTGAGAGAGAGAGAGAGAGAGAAAGAGAGAGAGAGTTCATTAGCACACATTTTTGTTCTTACATGGTAAAACATTCCTGTATCGGTTTTTGCTCTTGTTTTCTGGGGCCTTGGCATCATCACAATTGTCTGTGAGCTTTACCTGGCGCAAATTCTGAAACAAAACAAGACCATCTGAAGCGTGAAAAGCAAAACTTTGCCAAAACCAAATATCAGTATGAGCTGATCTTAATTTGAAAACTTGGCAGTTCTATTTTCAGGTTTCTAGCTTTTCTTCTTTAAGCCTGGATGACTTTTTATAATATCATCTACTTTTTAGAACAGTTTGGAGGACACTGTGTATTCTACACTGGAACTTAGTGTGTACATAACCATGGATACTCTGTGGTTAGGATTTATTTCTGGGTTGGACTGATGACTTGCATTATTGTTAAGACTAGGTATTTGTGCATTAACAGCCAATCTTTGGTTATTCAATAAAATTTCCAACAGACTGAAATTCCATGCAACCTGAAGTATTAACCTCAGATATAGTGAAAATTATACCATGTTGTAATGAGGTGTAAGCTGTAGGTGTGATAAATACCATCACTAAAGGTTACACTGTTCATACCCATTTCTTCTTTAAATCCTTCACCTTTATAAATAATTTTTAAGGCTAAATAAAGGTTGGCTTACAATTTCATCTAGCAAAAAACATGATAAAAGAGATAAAGATCATATCAAAATTCACAAAAATCTGGCCTTTCCAAGATGATAAATGATATTTCTAATGACATTTCACCAGTTTGAAGCAAAAAAACAATAGATTAAAAACATCACTTTCTTTCTTTCAAAAGTAAACAAAATTGAAGACGTTTAGTGATTCCTTCCTTTTCATGGTTACTGTGTGGTTATAGGTGTTCCAGAAATAAAATTCATATTCTAAAAAGATATTCAATCTCCTGTCAACTGTACTAAGACCTTGAGTTTCTCTCCAATTTGGCTCGTTGGCAAAAAACTGGCTATTGTAGATGACAATTAGATATCCTACCTAAGTTTTCATCACAAACATCCAAGAATTCAAATCAATTAATCAACAAATGCTGAAATAAACTCAGGACTGCTACAACAGGCATACTCAAATATCAACAAGGCAGCAAAGCTATCAAATGTATAGACAATGAGTAGGAAATAATAATGCACAAAATAAGTGATTTTGTCATTTTTGGTGCACAAGTGATGTCTGTGCATTAAAAGTAAACTAATAATAAGTTGAGTGTAATCAAATTAGCAAAGCTGAATGAGGGAGTGCTTAACAGTGACCCTTGCAAACCCTCTAGTTCTACCTTGTATTCCTCCACTGGATCATCTCTTTTCAGCTTGGTCGTCAGTTGGGAGATCACACTCTGTAGGGCTTTGCCAGAATACTGACCACTAGGGACAGGGGTCACTATGGGCAGCTGGGACACCCATCCATCTGTGATGGTTTGGGGGACAGTGTCCTCTGAAGTAGATCAACACATATTTAAAGGACTCACTTCTCGACAGAGAGTGGATTTCAATTAAAACACTCGAGTCGAATCTGGCTATTGCTCTTAGAACATGATAATAATACCTATTAATAGTCAGAAAAAATATCAAACTGAGAGCAGTACATCTATAACAAACAAAAATATACAACCAAAAACAACCTTTTTCACTGGAACTCTCCTCTTCGCTACTGTTCACTTGTTTTACTTCTTCCCTCTTGTCTTGTCCATCTGGAAGGGAATTATCAGAATCATCTCCCCAGGAGTCAGAATCCTCATCTGAGGAAGCCCCAGGTGGCGGTGCCTTTGGGAGAAGAGGAGTGTTGCTTTTAGGACCTGTCAACCCACCAGGCACTAACTCCTCCTCATTCTCTTCCTTCTCCTCATCCTCACTTTCTTCATCTTCTGAACTTGAATCTGGAGGAGGAGACGGGGGAAGAGGAGGTGGCATTACATTTTCAGTTTCTTCATGGTTGGTTTGTGATGGTGGCTTTGACAATGGTAAAGGTGGAGCCACCAGTCTCTCATGAGAAGGTTGCCCAGTGAAAACATCGCCATCTTCATCTGCATCTAAAGCAGTAGAGTCCACGTCACTGTCAGTATCACTACTGCTACCAGCTTTGTCTTGAGGAAATTTAGGCTGGAGCAAATTTTTGATTTCTTCCTCTTCCTCCTCATCACTACCCTCCCCCGTCTCCCCCTCTTCCTCTTGTAGTGTTTTCTGTTTTGAAATTGGAGAGTGTTCTTTGGATGAGGATCTGAAAAACAAGGCAAAAAAACAAGGTGACTGCATATACCAAAGAGATCCAACCAGAAGATAACATGGCTGCACCAGAGAGCCCTATGATAGGCTTCTGTGTTCTAATTTTGGTGGTCGTAGCTGATCCCTTTTTCATTTAAATTAAATTTTAAATAATTTGCGATTAATTTTGCTTTTCCTACAAATGACACTAGCGCAAAGTGCAACAGGCACAAAAGCCCAGATCTAGCCTCATTAGTGGATTTGGGTTAGTAATCTGGTGAATTAAGTTTGGAATAAAAAAAATAGTTTTAGAAATTGACAACCCACCTTTCCACCACAAGGGTCACCTGACCACTTGACTTTCTGAGCAGATTGACCGCCTGGTTATGTGTCCAGGTCTGGACTGATTCTTCATTTACCTGGTCAAAACATTGAATAAGATTATATATCTAATAATTAGATTATAAATCTTACTGTATAGATTTCACAGACACATAATATATATATATATATATATAAAGACATCATTGCAAGAATACTTTTTTATATTTAAAAATTACTGTCCAGCATTAGGCAGCATTCACTGACATGTTAGAGCTAAATTTCATAGCAATGAGTAGTTTTAATCATTTATTCCAAAGCCTATTTTGTATAAAGGTGACTCATGAGATTAAAAATACTAGAGATACTGGTATACCTATCATTTATGTCACTTCTACAAAATACTGAGTAAACAAAGCAGTTCATTTTTCACATTGTACCCACACCACATCTACTACTTAAACAGTACCACAATGATTGAATGAAATCAAAATTGCCCAACATCTCTAAATGTGAGAGATCCTGATGGAACGTATGTGTAGTTTTCACAAGTGGGGACAAGTGCTGGAGGAGTACTATTACCAAAGGTAGTACTATTATTAACTTAAAGGTGTCAAATCTGAGATATGGAAGTTAAACACGAATACTGGTTATATGTCCCCTGTCTTTCTTGCAATATCATTTATTTGTAACGTAAAAAATATTGACAGAATTCAAGAATGATCAAATCAGGCAACTCGTTCAATGTTCTAAACTATAATAAAATGACTTTCTATGGCACTGTTTGTCATCATGTTGTAGTATAGACATTATGTTTGAGCCATTTACAATTCTCAAATCATCAGTAGGAAGTGTACAATAAAATCACATTAAATTACTAATTGCCTTAAGCTTGTTTTGAATGTAAAAAAATATAACTGACTCAATCACTGTCTGACTTCTCCTAGGCGCACTGTTACTTTTAACAGTTAACTTGCACAATGCTATTGGAGATAAAGGTCAATAAAGATCAGAACTTTTTTTATTAACATAACACATCATATATACATGATAGTTCTAAGAAAAAAACAGGAAACACAACACCCACTCACTCTCACATTTAGGAGAGAGATCACAAAAATTTAGTGATGGTTACTGAAAATGTGCAGAACAAAAAACATGGCTTATCGCCTATCATCAGTTCTTTTCTTTCAATGTTGGAAAGAACCACAGAAGAAATGCTTCATTTCACATATTTGCTGCTCACGTCTGAAATGTATGCTCTGAGAAGATTCTGAGATACTGTTTTGTGCTCCTTTCCTAAAGCTCAAAAAATACCATACAAGTTGAACAGAAAGCAGCTTGGTAAACTGAGAAACCTACAACTACATTACTTATTCTAAAGATAGTACAATGTGTTAGCTCAAGGCCAACCAGCAGCTGGATGAAGCTGGGGCATCACTCCTTGAGTAAAAACAATGATTTACTATTGGACTATATCTAAACAAGCTGAGAATATTTTTTGATCCAACACCTAAACTGTCATGTCATCTGAGATTAAGATTGTGCAACAAAACACTGTGAGGAAATTTAATCTGTTTTCATTAAAATCATTTTTTTAGTGGTAATTGGGTTTTGTGTCTACTGGTCAACTAGCAGTCTAATAGAAAATAATATAATTAGTGAACAATAATGGTGAACCATCAACAAAGCAATATCCAAAAAACTATTGTATTAACATGGGAGTGCCAGTCAGCAATTAACACCATCCACATGGCAGAGATTCAAAAACCTCCTTCCTGGCATGATAGGAGAATATGGTTAATTAAATCCATATTATAAAGGAACTGGAAACATGACGGGAACCACTTCAAAGACTTTCAATAATTAAAGCTCTCTAATAAGATATCCTAATAGGATAGGTAAAATTCTGTTGAATTTATTCTCAATAACAAGGATCAAATAAAAGATTAGCAAGATCGTACCTGGGTCACTGACAAAGGCTCAAATTATCTTAATTTCACTCACATGTCATGATTTTTGTTCTAGCCTTTTTTGTTTGTCAAGGTAAATATTGATTTTTTTCATGAACTCTTCTGAGTTAATAATTCTAACACAATTTTTCTTTTCAATGGAACATAATATCTAGGAACTGCCACTTAGCCAGCAACTTGTTTCCTGACAACTTCACTGCACCAAACACAACACATGCTTTGTATTCAAAGGTTCCATATAAAGGATATATAAGCTGCTTCAACAGCACATACTCATATATTTGCAGAGGTTAAAGTAGGTGAGGGTCATTTTACTAAAAAAGGTGACCTTCTGAATCCCCGAAGTGACCCATGCATTTTGCCTAATATATTAGCATGACTTGTCCCATAATTTTTTTTTTTGCTTTTTTATACTACAGCACCCTCCAACATGGAAAAACATTAACAGTAATTAAAAAGTGATATAAAACAGTTAAGCAAATATTATAATAAATGTGGATGTCATTGCTGTAACTCAGAGTCAAATTTTTCGTGGAATGACCCAATACAGAGCACAAAATAAATTTCTCTCTGTAACACACCTAGTAGTAAGTTTGAATATGAAAAGAAATTGGCCAAGACCAGTAAAACATATTTTTCACTTTTCCTTGTGATTTTATATAAACATATTTCACCTTTCACAAGAGATCTGTTTTAAAACCAGATAATACAGGGTGACAAAAATAAATAAATAAATAAATAAATAAATAAATAAATAAATAAATAATAATCCTACAAATGTCCATCATATTGCAAGAAATTTGCTGGACTAAGAGCGCATTCTCAACGAATTAAGCCAGGCTTTACAAAGCCGGTGACCTAAAAATGGCGGACGTAATGAAAGAAAAACCGCCTAATCTTTTAATTGTCTCTCCGCCTCTCACNATCTTGATCACTTTGCATAAAAATTATGTTCTTTTTAATAATATTAAACAAATATTGTACAAATTATCCTTGAGATACACCCACAGATAAAAATATGCGGAGGTTCAAATGCAGTGCCCACTCAACATCATACTTTCTTTGTCAGGCAAGGGAGTCATCTGATGTGTGGGGGTGGCACTGTCTTGCTGGAACCACTGTCCATCTTGATGTATTCCTTCGCATCGTCTCGATAATGTCCAAAACTTCCACAGCACTGCCACATAACAAATCAAGAGAGACTGATCATTAGCAAGCGTGATGTTGAATGGGCACGGCATTTCACCAGAACTGAACCTTCACAGATTTTTATCTGTGAGTGCATTTCAAGGATAATTTGTACCAGAATAACCCTAAAACGATTGGTGAACAGAGGGCAGCAATCATAGCAAAAATCAGGGAAATCCCGAGGGAGTAATGTGTTCGAGTAATTGGCCATTTTTTCAGGATGAATGAAAGTGTACTTCCAATGCCAAGGAGGCCATTTGGAGCATATTTTTGAAAGGAAACATAACTTTTATGAAGAGTGACCAAGAAAACTTTGGGGAATGATCATGCACATATTGAAGAATTCTTGAAATTTGATGGACCTTAGTAGGATTTAATAAAATTTTAATGGGTTCTGTATGTTAATTCATTTGTCTATTAAATAAATGGTAATTACCTCATCTCATTTAACTTAATTCATGTTAACATTTGTTGTGTTAATGTGCCCAGACCCGCCTCTGTACTGCACTACTCTATGAATCTCATTCACAACAACCAAAACTATTGTCACCTTGGGAAACAGCACCTTGATTATCTTAAATTTATGAAATTGCAAGTATTTCATATATTCATTTTACTCCTTGTTTTTAGTACTTAATAGGTATATAAATTTCGCAGCTTCCAACCCATCAAAAATTGCTTACACAACCTGGCTATGCATTGAGAAGCCCTATGAATTGATTTTCTCTGTCTGTGTCTACATGAAAAGTAAACATGCATTTAAAAGCATGCAAAAGGTTTCTATTTATCAATTATGTGCATGCTAAAGAAACCAGTGATCCTTTACATCAATGATGCAGATACAAGAAATTATTTCCACCCTAACCACTCGCACAAATAACAACTTTTAACATGTTTAAGTATCACCGTGTGTATGATGCAAGGATGTGTGTGTGTGTGAAAGAGTAAGTAGGCACTGTTTTCGTATATTACTTATATGATAAGCTACTTTTTATACTTACATGATAAGTTTCTTATGCTTATGTGATAAGCTTCTTATGCAATTCTGATAAGCTTAATTCCTATGCTTATAAGCTTCTGTAGTATTGTATTGTGCGTGTTGAATAAAAAAAAAAAAAAAAAAAAAAAAAAAGACAAAAATTATTATAAAATTGGCATAGAATACAATGCTGTATCTGGGGATTTGCTGTGATAAAACTTCAAACTGACCTCCCTGACATCATCAAAAACCTAATATTGACCTTCCTGGCATCATCAAAAACCTAATATTGACCTTCCTGGCATCATCAAAAACCTAATATTGACCTTCCTGGCATCATCAAAAACCGCAATATCTACCTTCGACACCTCTACCCATCGTTATGTAATGCCACAAACAGCATGCACGGCCCATACCCCAATGTTGTGACCAGCTTTACACAGGTGATGAAATAATGTTGATGCAAAGTTGAGCTCTCTAATTGCTTTCTGGAGGATAATGCCTGCATGGTGAGATGTTTTTGCAAATTTTAAAATTGTACTGGAAGAGCAGAAAGAGCCAGATCAGAGGCGTTTTTAAATATAATATATTTTTAAATAGTGTGTATTGCAGAAACTTAATTGTCCCACTCAAAAATTGCATTTTAACTTGGGTCTGGGCAGGAGGCTACTAAGAAAATTTTGAAAGTAGAAGGTGGATTATGATGGGTTCTCAATAAAAAAAATAAAAATAATTTTATATTCTAAGTGATTTCCATTTTTGTGGAACCCAGTGCAGTCCAATATCTGGGTGGTTTACAGATTGAAAATTACAGTTTGAAAAAATGAAAGGAAATGAAAAACTGCCCTAAGCAATTCTTCACTTATTAGATAGATAGCATTGTTATTTATCATTTTTGGGGTATCAATAAAATATAAAATCTGACATAGAAAATTGTCTTCTTTTACTGTACTTCACATATATTATGGTATAATTACACAGTACTAAATTATAAGATAAAACAAATATCACTTTTAGCTTCCTCCCTTGTATCATCAAAAACATATCTACCATTGATGCCCCACATTTTTTAGGTAATGACGTGACCAGTTATTTTCAATTTGCATCACATGTATTCTTGGAATAATCATATTTAATTATATAATATAATATAACCTGCGCCTCCATCAATAACACTTTTTGGAGGTCAACAAAACAACATATAAGCAAAACTGAAATTGGTATCTAAAAAGGCATATTTTGAACTTTCAAACAAAACTGGTTTGAAATACACAGGCACCCACATAAATTCCAAAGCATTTATGTCTATATAAAGCAAATAATTAACAAGGCCGTTTTTTTTTTTTAATGAACACGAGGCAGTGGGTTTTAAGAACAGTAGGCTATTATGAAAGCAGGTTGTGGGTTAATGAACTTTTACTAATTGGAGGGTTGTTACCACATTTGCCTTCTTCCTGAGATTACCTTGATTAAATGGTCCCCTACTTGTAGCTGTCCATCTCTGTCTGCCACGCCTCCTGAAGCAATAGTCTTTACATACACACCTGTGCCACCTGGACCACTAACCAACCCAAAGCCAAAACCTTCATTGCCAGACTTTGTGAGCTGAATTGCTATACCAGATATCTAAAAATACAAGATAAGTGACACAAATTAATGAGGAGTTATATGATTCCTGCCCAATGTAGAAAGTATGCACTGCATGGTTGTTAAGGCATTCTTCAATAAACTATTAAAGAGAATATGACTGAGGTTTTACTCAGCCTTTAAAATAAAAATTACTGAACAAAATATGAAGTATTAACATACTATATAAAAAGCCAGGTAAAGATCTTCAATTTACATTGTACATATTTTTCTGTATGTCAAACATCTTAATACAATTCATAATAGCTTAGTAACACAGCTGGACTGCAATGACACCTCACCTGTTGCTTGTTGTCGTCCGTGTCAGAGAGGGGCAGGCTAATGTCCCCCCAAGAAGACACACTGCTCCGGCTGGCCACTGACCTCTTACTGTGGTCCAGCGATGACAAGGAGGTGTCCCCTCCGGCTTGACCACTACCACCAGGGTGACCCTCAGGGGATGAGGGTGCCTCCAAGGGCTGCTGTTTGTGGGAGACTGACCCTGAGGGAAAAAAGAAATACTATGGTTTAGAATAGTGTGACAGTACTATCTAAACACAGGGTACGCTAGTAGTCTGTTACAAAAAAGTTGAAAGGCACCCCCACAGTGTGATTTTGTATAGTACTTTATAAATAGGGGTCCCTGATATCAGATGGTAATGTGACAGCACTACTGAGAACTGATGATACCTAAGCAGATGGCTCTTTAAGGGTTGTTGACATTTCTGAAGAATGTGTGTAAATGTAAGATATTGTTTGAGACACTGTGTGTCAAAAATTAAATTTTTTGGCAGGGTATTTAAGTGAGTATTTCCTTAGGAAAAAGCTGGTGGGCCATTTTGCTAGGATTAATTATGAATTTAAATGTATTTCTAAACATTCACAAGAAATGACTCAATTCTTACTGTAATCATGTGGCTTAATCACATCTTTATTAGTCTCAAATTCAGCAGCAAGGTCTTTGACAGATTTGGTTTTTTCTACTTCCTCAGCATCCTCCTCCTCTTCATCTTCCTCCTCTTCCTCACTCTCTGATGAAGATTCTGGATAGAAGCTCTGCTGGCCCTGTAGTGTGAGACAGGAAAATCATTATCAAAGAAGCTCATCATTTACATGTGTCTAAGATATATGATTTTGACATTGGTCTCAGTGAAATGCATTTTAAATTTTTCTTTGCTTGAGCAAAGCAAAAAGCAGTTAAACTGACAATATTATAGGCCATAATTTGCTTATAATTTGTATCAAAAAATCACAAGATACATAATTTGTTTGAGACCCAGGTTATCATGTCTGCACATACATATCAAAAATACTTTTAATGTAACTGCTGTATTGAAACCTCACCTGCTTTTTGTCCTGCTGAGCAGGTTTGGGGGGTTCCCCTCTGTGCAGCCTGATGGTGACCTCCTGAGGAGTATTCCTTAAGAAGGACACACAGTCAAAGTGGCTAAAACCTGTCACATCTTTACCATTCACCTGTGGTGACAGAAATGATATATCTACGGTCATTTCTTTATTATCATGTTTGCCTTTGCAACTTTTATGTTTCTGAACAACAAATTACTTTGAAATAACCTAAAGACAGGCATCACTTTGTTTCAAGTTATCTTGACATTAATATCAAATTAAACATTTCGGAAAAGACAGGAACCAATGAGAAACAGATTTTACTCAAAATTATCAAACAGGGCAAAAATTCTATTTCAGAATTAGCAACTATCAAGTGAATATCAAATATCTAATTGTTTTCTACAAAAAGGATCAAATTATTCAGCCAGACATTTGTGGGACATGTACCAAGATAAGCTTATCCCCAGCTTGCATCCTGCCGTCTGACAGCGCTGGGTCTTGCACCACTGCCTTCACATAGCAACCTCCTGTTGTCATGGTTCCCCCAGCCACTGTGAACCCCAAGCCACTCCTGATGCTCTTTATCAATGTCACCTCAAACTCCTAATTAACACAAAACTAATGCACTGAAGTCTCAAGATGTGATAATTGACTTTATGAATATGGCTCTAATATTTTCTCACCTGAACTTAGGTTCACTCGATAGTTACACAAGGGAAAACAAAAAACAAAATTATGTGATCTAAGTCACTAGATAAGAAAAAACTGCTAAACCTTTATCCACAAGGTAAAACATGTTATAGTAAAATCCATCAACAATATACAACTTTATCTTAGATTATTGTTAATATAGATCTCACCCCAGGTTTCATTGGTGGTGGTGGTACATCCAAAGCTTCACTCTCCTCCTCCTCCTCTCCACTTTCCTCGTCCTCCTCCTCCTCCTCCTCACTGGAGTCTGCAGGAGTTGGACTGGGAGGGGCAGAGGCATCACTGTCAGATGCTACACTTTCTGTTCTAGAAAACTCACTGGACTGGATGCTGTCAGCTCGGGAAACCACTAGATGGATGAGGACATTGTTTTAATGATTCATCTATGTATATAAGATACAAAGTAACACGTAACCCAAAACCATTGATCTTCCATCAAAAGTATCAATTTTACAAAACTTTCAATAAGATTCAATCATAATTCCAATACATTTTTTCAAAATATTTATATAAAATGCAACTGGATGAATAACCTACGTTTGTTCTATTCATTATTCACATCATCATGACATCAATGTATACCGTCATGGGGCCCTACCTTTTGGCTGAGATCTAACAGATCTCTGAGATGACTGTTTGGAAACATATGGAGCAACACCCTGGGACTGGCCACTCTCCTGTCTGGACACAAACTTATGTGGAGACTCAATCCTCTGGTCACTGTCTAGTAAACTAGGTGGAGAGTCTTCCGTCATGGTCATATGTTCTACTTGCCCAATAGGTGTCTGTCTGCCTGACACATCAGACGTCCTTTCAGACTGGTCAACTGTACTCTGACCTCTTGTCCACTGGTCTGGACTGACCGAATGTTCTGTCTCGGTTTCTTCACTGGAGGACTCGGACATGCTGCTGGCAGGGCGATCCTCAACAGTGGGTCTCATAGTCTGTTGTGCTGAGCCAGAGAATGGAGGAGGTGATTTCACACCTTGTTGCTGGACTGGTGTCCCACTATGATGGAATGGTGACTTGGCTGGACTAGACACCAACGGTGATATGGGCAGTGGTGACTTAATGGGAGACTGGGATTCCTGGACTACTGACAGACCTGATGCCACTGTCGCTGGTGACATGCTCTTGGGAGTTGGGACCCTGTCTTCAAATGGAGACTCCCTCCCCTGGAATGAAGTAAGAGTTGTAGTAATTTTTATTTGAAAATAAGTTAAAAGCATATAAAATCTCCATTAAATTCCAAAAATTACATGCTAACACAGTACTTTCATGCCATCAGTCCTTTTGTCAACAAACGGGAGGGGGGGGATATACAAAAGGTCAAATTTAAGAATTGATTTAAATATTTAGATTGGCATAAAGGCAATCAGATGGCTTTCTAGAAAGATACATGGACAGAAAGCAAACAAATATGGTCAAATATTTACATTGAATATATTTTGACTGAATTATCTTATCAATCCTATAAAATTATCAAAAATTCTCAACAAAAGAACAAATCTTTCATGTAATGCCATGTGAACCATGTTTTATTTTCTTAAGGTGACACTGCAGTTGCTTAGAGAGAACACAGCAGATGAACAGTTCCTCAACAGGAAGACTTATTTATTAGTCATAAAAAATTTAAACTCACCCTGTCTACAATAGGTGGCAGCTGGGTAGGGCTTGGCCTGCAGATCAGCAGCTTGACATCTGATGGCGCTGTCCTCAGTAGTGTCACAGTTTCCTAAGAACAAAAAGAGAGACATGAAGACATGATTACTGACAAAAAATTCTCTATTGTACTGGGATAATTTTTAAAGGTTAAGCATATTAAGCCAAGAGCTAAATTATTATCTTGTCCTCAGAACGAGAGTCTCTATCTGAGCTTTATTTCATTGCTGAATTAAATAGTCTAACTTGGCAGGGTGTATTTTCAAAAAGACAAACCAAATATCAACTCTAAAAAAAGGATTTCACAATTCCTTGTAAAAAAAGTAATCAGCAAGTATGTGTGCAAGCGTGTATTTAATTTTTTGTGACTTTCTTACATTTATTCCTTTGACATTACAGAATACAACTGCAGGAAACGAATCACAAAGGAAAGAGAAATATCCCTACTCAATCCCCATTAATTACATCACGCAAAAAAGATTAAAAAGCTTCCTGAAGCCCTTGTCACCAGCATGGAATCACACCTTAACCTTAAACTGTAACATGCATGAACTTTACCTTAATTAACTTTTCAAGGTAACGGCAGATAGGGATAACTAAGATGAAAACAGAAATATAGAAAAAAAAAAAAATTCCACAAAAAATCTGGACAACTCACCCCATGTGTTAGACCTCTGACTTTGGTACCGTTGACTTCCAGAATGACGTCCCCCACTTCCAGCCTCCCACTGGCAGCGGCAGGACCCAGGGGGAACACTTTCCGTACCCGCACAATACAGCGCACTGGGTCAGTGGGGTGCGCTCCTCTCCCACCTAGTACACTAAACCCTAGACCACTGCTGCCCTTTATCAGTGGCACTTCATACGTGTTTTCTGAAAGGAACATACAACATAACATCTCAATTTTTTTCCACTCAATGCATTAAGGTGATAGTTTAGTTTGTCATATTAAACAACCCCAACATGATTTTACCATCAGTAAGATAAACCAACGTCTAAATTAAGGACCAGACTACTTTCTTTCAATTGCTTAAAGTTTCAACTGTCATCCTGATATTTTCCCTTCAAATAAGAGTTAAAACATTTTTTAAAATAATCAACCAGAGGCATAAGTACATGTTTCGGTCATTCCTCAAAGATAATGTCTGTTTTTTTAAAATTATGCTGCTTTTAAGAAGACTCATAATTATTTTTAAGTGAATGATTTTAATGGAGTTTAAATGCATTAGCAATGTTAGCAAATCTAAAACATCTATGCTATTTGCTGTCATTACAAAAATAGTTGACTGAACAGTCTAATGCATGTACTTATTATCATAGTTACAATATTTGTACTGGTTTAGAGCATGCACAGCTACATACCATGCATGCAGCATGCAATCTAGAGATCTACATGTAATAAAGAATATTAATCAAAGTCAAATAAAGAAGGGATAAAAAATATCTTTACTATAAGAGTTAGACAAAACATCAATCCTTCCCTAAGTTTCATTAGCATGGATTTCACAAAATACACAGTCCACAAAAATGAAATATTGTTTTTCTGTAAAAGTGAAAAAAACTTAAGACACTGTTTAGAGGCTCACGAAATACTTGTTAAGATATCAATATCTTTACTCAATAAGATATCATACTAAGTCAACTAATTTTATCCACAATTGTTTTTCTGTAAAAGTGAAAAAAACTTAAGACACTGTTTAGAGGCTTGGGAAATTTCAAGCCTTGAACTGTACACATTACAGGTTGACCAAAATACTCAATACAATATTGTATTACTAATCTTTTTCCATAAATATAATTTTTTTATTAGTATATCCTGGTATTTATCTCCCAAATTTCTGATACTTTCAATCACTCTGATGCAGCACTTGTATTGTTCAAATCCTTCACTTTTCAATTTAAAAATTAGTAATGCATGTCAGCTAATTCATTCTGCTGTTGATCAGTAATAGAAAAAAGGAGAAGAAACATTTTTTAGAA